AGCCTGCCCAGCACATGCGGAGGGGAGCCCCAGTACTCACCCTGCCTCCCTGCCCCCACCAGCTGCAAGCCCTCCAGTCTTTGAAGTCCTATTTCCCTCATCTTGTCCAGATTCCTTTGCAAAAACTCATGAAACTGGAACTTGCAAAAAGTCATTCATAGTCCAAAGTGCCTGAAGAACCTTTTTAATGAGATTTTTCAACTTTTCATCCCTTTCCCCCACTGCTTGCCTTTCCAGACAGGAAGTTGTTAGAGTGTGGTGTTTTCTTGCCAATATCTAAAGGTTCAACCCCTTGCTTCCCTGAGGGTGGAGTGAGTGTTCTGAAAGGCCAATGTGTCTGCTAGTAGCTGAGAAGAAGCCTAAGGGCCCGCTGCCCCCAAGTCAGGTTGGAGACTGGGAAGAGGGAGAGTTCCACTGGGAGAAGGGGATAAGGGCAGTGTTCCAAGCAGCTGGGCAAGGTCTCGGTAAGGCTGCTCCACAGGTGGGGGGTATCTGCCAGGGAGGGGATCTACCGGCAGTGAGGTGAGGAGCGCAGGCGTCATTTTGGATCACCATGAGTGCGAGGGGCAGATGGGTGGCAGCTTGGGCCAGTCCCCACAGTGGAGAGCAGTCGCCATCTCTATTGTCAGTGTGGTCAGCTGCCACCTAGGTAGCCTTGAGGTCAATCACAATTCCCCTCTGGGTCTGGGTCTCCCCACCCATGAAGGAAAGGCAGGACCAGATAGGCCTCTAAGGTCATTCCAGGTGACCTCTGACCTGGTATAAGAAGTGCTTGAGAGGGGTGGGAAGAGACTGGGCTGGGAGTCCGTGGCCTCCATTCCAGTTTTGGAAGTTCATTCAGCTGCCTTTACCCTAAAATGAAAAAGATGGTGCTCTCTGCCCTCGCCACCTGGTGGGGCTGTCCTAGGGCAAAAGCTCAGGCCTTCTAAGATGCAAGGTCGTGCAGATACGCAGGGAGACAGGGTCAAGAAGTGGGGTTAAAGCATAAAGGCAGATCCTTGAGAGTGGCCCTACACTTTAGTGGCTCCATCACTAAATATTAAGTCTCAACTCCTTTGTGAGGCAGGCACAAGGCCTGCCAACAGCTCTTCTGCATCTCTAGGGCTTTGCCTGGGCTGTCCCTGCCACCTGAGATCCCCCCCCAGCTGTCCCTGCTTGGGGACCCTTACCCTCTCTTTAAGGCTCAAGTGCACCTGCAGCTTCTCCTAACCCTCCATGTCAGGGACTGCCCACTCCTGTGCCAACTCCAGGTCCCCAAGGACCTTCATGCAAACCTGGCTGTAGCAAGGCCCAGGACGGATGGGCCAGGCTGTGAGCTCCTGTGGCCTAAGCTGAGCTGTTCTCATTTCAGCTCTCTATGCTGCCCTGCCCAGTGCCTGGTACAGTGGGTTTTGGTAAATATCTGCTGAGAGAAGGATGGAAGAGGTGGAGGGCTGTCATCTGAGGCTGGATTCCCCCAAATCCTTCCTCCACCCTAGAACATCCTCACAAAGGATCCACACATAAAAACACAGCTGGAATCCCAATGTCAATTTACACCATGCTCCTGACAACACCATGCACGGGGAAGGCTGATCATACCCTGCCCCTACCAGGCAGGCCTTGGGGATCTGAGAGACTTCACACGTCATGTGGTGGCTGGCAAAGCTGGCACTTGTCCCAAGCAGCCATGACATTCAGTACCAGCGTCGTTCCATTTGTGGTTAAGGTGATTAATGCCAGGTATCAGCCCCTGGCTGGCTCCCGAGCTGGTTATCGTGAACTAGGGCCACGCTGGAAAGCAAACTCACCTCCCCTTAGCAGGCTGCCCTGCCCAGCCACAGGATGGCCCAGCTCGCCTCCTCAATTTTGGGCTTCTTCAAGGGAAATCTGGCCGTGTGAGACTGCTCATCTGGCCTTTGGGATCTTATGGCTCTAGACAAGCATGCAAAACTAAACTTCCAGCACCCGTGGGCAGAGACTAGACACCCAAACTCAGGCCTGATGGCAGAGTGTTCTTATCGGGGGTTCTGCCACAGGCTGTTGGGCCCAGCTCTCAGTCTCTTCCACTTCCTCCCTGGCTTGAGAGGTGCAGGGGATCTGACCAGAGTGCTCCAAAGACAAAGGAAGGCTGAGCCCATGGACACGGAAAATCCAGGGAGTCAGAGACCCTTTGATGTCAGAGGTGTCCTTAGCAACCATCAAAGTCCCAATGTAAAGATGTGGATGCTGAGCCCCAGAAGGAAGGAATTTGCCCAAGGTCACACAGTGAGCAGTGAGTGGTAGGTCAGGACTCCTGTCCAGAACTCTGGACAATAGGTTCTCTCTGCTGCCCTTAAAAACAGCTTTCAATGAAACCATGAGGCCAACCTGGGAAAGCAGGGGCAGGGTGGGAATAATACAAGATAATGTTTACACTGCACTGGTTGGGTTAGAGATGTTTTCCCTCTGTACGAAGAGCATTGCCATCCCCTGTGCACAGAGAAAGCTCAAAAAAGTGACACGGCTGCCCAGGCCATAAGGCCGTGGAGTGGGGAAGCCTATCCCCTGCTTTCTCCACTGCATGCAGCCCTGCACACAGGACTATAAGCCTGTACTGTGAAAACAGAACCAACGTGCTGTCCATCCCTCTGGAGTGGTACTACTGTTTAGGGAACGGGGCACACCCAGGGTGAAAAGGAATTGCACTCTTGGGGCTGTGATAGAAATATTCTTCTAGAGACCCATGCAGGAGGTAGATTTTAGGCCTGTTTGCATAACAGGGCACATTTCACAGGAGACTGAGAAATGGATCCTGAAGGTATTGTTGGTATGATTACTTCTGCAACTGGCTTGAGATTCCTTATATGGCTCCATGTTGGTGCCTCAACTGTGACACTGCTGGGTACTGGGGAGGCTACTGTTCCCATGCAGGCAGAGCTGTGCCGGGGTCCCCATGGGGCCCGGTCCACCTAGTGCAGAGGCTCAGCCCTTGCCCAGCTCATGGAGGGTCATGGAAAGGAAGGTCAGCCGGGACTGGTATGGGGTGCTCCACCCCCCCTTCCTTGCTGCACTCAATCAGTGGTTTTGGGAACAGTCTTCTGGCCAGGTCCTAGATTCCAGGAGAGAAGAGATTCACAGAGGAACGCAGATTGGCAGTGTACTGAGTGCTGCACTGAGGAAGCCCAGGGGGTGGGTGGGCTGCCTCAGTCATCGTGGAAGGGCAGTAACGTGGGAATCCCATCTCTGCTGTCACCTGCCTCCTTCACCTCTTGAAACCCAGAACAACACAGTTCACCTTGAGGCGGGGTGGGGGTGGGGTTGGAGACCTGGAAGAATCACTTAAGAGCACCTGGGTTGCTCAGTTACCTTGGACAGTGAGGGAGGGAGCGGGGCTGCATGCAGCAGCGGGCAGATGAGGACCCCCTGGTCCCTGTCAGCATGGCTGGTGATGTGCACCTGCTCCCCTGCCGCCCGCTCCTCAATCCATTGAGGGATCTCCGACTGTGCTCATTGCCAGTCCAGCCTCCCAGCCCTGCTGCAGTTTAGTACTGAGATCTTCTCGGCTGAGATAACCAAACAGATACTTTATGCCAACAGGTCTGATGGTGGACAGTGAAGTATGAAGGTGCTGTATGTCCTGAGTGCCTTCTTTGCTGTTAGAAATCCTCTCCATGTTCTCCCTGACAAGGGCCATCCAGCCCCACTTGCACACCCCCAGTGATGAGACACTCACTACCTATCGAGGCAGTTTTGGATGGATCTAATTCTTGATCAGTTCTGACTGTTAGAAAACTTTTCCTCTCACTGAGCTGGAATCTGCCTGCCCATAAGTCCCATCTGGGGACCCCTGACCACATCTGCTCCTTCTGTCCTGATAATCCTTGAGAGATTTGTGGTTCTCACCACGTGCCCACACGTCCTTTCTTCCCCAGGCAGATATCCATTGCCTCTGCTCGCTGACCATGCTCTGCAACTTGTCATGGTCCTTCTCAGGGCAGAGCCCAGCAGACAGGGTGGGCTCAGTCCTGAGCACAGAGTGCAGGCCAATCTCTCATTCTTTGGCTGCACTGTTGCCAATGTCTACACAGCTGATAGTCACATCACAGCAGGCCCTCTCTCTGTCACAGGCTCTAAGAACGGAGAGCAGTGCAGAGAGGAAGCCAGGCAGAAGGCTTCAATGTTCCCGGGGGTCTGTGCTGGCTAAAGGGCCTGGGTTTCTTAAACTCCAATTCTGCCACTAGCTCTCTATATTTCCTTGGGAAATCCCTCCTCTCTCTAGGCCTCGGTTTTCCTATCTGTAAAATGGGGTTTAGATAATCTGTTGGGTCCCCTTTAGCAATAGCACTGAATGATGAAGCACTCAAGCAAAAAACCCTTTTCTCGTTTTGAGGCTGCCTATCTCAACAGTGATGCTTCATGGGTCAGAAAGGCCCAACAGTTTACAAAGCAGCCACAGAGGAGAACACCAGCAGGATTCTCCCTGGCTCTTCCCAGCACTCCTCACAACCTTTGTGACACACATAAAAATCAGACCCACCCAAACAGCAACCTGGAACATAGGGAAAGGGCTGTTCTCACAGTGGCAGTGCGGTGCTGTGGAGAGTCAAACAGCTGGTCTGGAGTCCTGGCTCTGCCCTTTGGGCCTTCCAAGTCCCTCTCTGAGCCTCAGTTTCCTCATCTGCAAGATGGGGACCATATGTTTCTCATCAAAGGACTCCTGTGAGCTTTGAGGGAGGGATGAGGTACACTCGGAGCTTCATTAGGTTCCTGGTTCACAGCAGATATGAAAGCTTTCTTTGGGTATTTAATATTGAATCCTAGGAAAATGCCCCTCCTCTTCTGGGGCGGAGGAAATTAAGAACTCCTCTGCCTTCCAGGAGAATAGGATCAAATTGAAAAACCAAGGCTTGAAATATCTCATACTGGCACATTTCCTGGGGAACACTGGCGGGTCTTTCTGCCACAGACACAAGGGCCAGGCAGCGCTTCACTCGAGGCTGCCGAGGAGGGCTGAGAGGGGTGAGCGAGGCTGTACTCACTTCAGGGAGAGGGAATAGTCGTGCTTGCTGGTCTGGCTGTTCCGGACAAGGTAGCTACACTCTTTGCAGAGCCGCAGAAGGTTCTCGGCATCTCCTCTGCTGATGGCTCCGTGATACCAGCTGGAGAGGAGAGAGAGGGTCAGAACCCAAAGAGGACAGGACCCTCAGAGCTGACACCCTTGCAAACTCCTCCTTGGGGAGGCTCAGCCCCGTCTGGGGGCAGCTGGCATGTCCCAGCCTCCTCGTTATAAGGCAGGTGTGTGTGTGTGTGTGTGTGTGTGCATGCATTCAGTCATTCAGTATGGAACTGCCGAGCGTGTGCCACATGCCTGATCCTGGGGAGAGAGCAGTGAACAAGCCTGCAGCCTCCTCTCTCACAGGGCTTGCACTACAATTTGGTGCTATGCAGGAAATGAAGCAGGGTAGTGTGGTTTGGAGCGTGTGGTAGGGATTGCTATTTTAAGCAGGAGCCAGGGAAACCTTCCGGAAAGAGTGACATTTTCAATGTGGACCTGAAGGAGTTGAGGGAGGAAGCCACAAAGGAGGGTAACTGGCAAAGAGTGCTTCTGGCAGAGGGAGGGGTGGCAAAGGCCCGAGGCAGGAGTGCCCGATGTGCTTGGTAAACAGCAAGGAGGCCAGTATGGCTGCAGGGAGCCAAAGGGGAGGGGTGGGCAGTGCAACCCATGAGGCCACCAGGCAGGGCCATTCAGGGGGCCGGTGTGCAATGAGAGGACCCTGGCTTTCTCCATCTGAGTGACACGGAGGCCATCAGAGGGTGCTAACAGGAGGGACGTGTGCCTGGCATCTGTGGGACAAGTGGGTGGTGCTTGTCACTCAGGACAGCAGACGGTTGGGTGGGAAAGCCACACCAGTGCTCCTGTCAAGCAAATCTGGCATCGGTCGGGCATGTGGGAAGCCCGGCATCACTGCTTCTGGACACTAGGTGGTGAGCAGCAGAATCACAAGGTAGGGGTATAATGGCAGACGACATGACTAAGGCCCCCCCGCTGTAGGACAAAAGACAAACAACTGATTTTCAAGATTGGGAGAGTTGAAGGTGAAATTTCAGAGGAAGAGTGAAGATCACAAGATGGGGGTAGTCAGTGGGTCTACCCAGAGTGCATTTCTGCTTACATCACAGTCTCTAAGGGGCAGGGGTGGTGGGAGGGCGGCGAGTTAGGCCAGGAAGAGAACCACAGGTGCTGGATGGCCACAGAGGCACAGACCGCTCTGCCACTTGCCAGCTGGGCAGTCAGGGACAAGCGGCGGAACCTGGCTGCACTTCGGCTCTCTATTGGGTTAGGGTCACTCCACTCCCGCCTTGGGATGTGAGGATTAAATGAGATGACGCACAGAAGGGCATATGCAGAGCCTGGGGTGGGGTGAGTTTCAACAAATGGCAGCTCCCAGCATCCATAGAAAGAGACTGAACTTGCAGATGGCCATGGGTAACTCCCCCAACTATCATTATTCAGGCTGCTGCCCACCGTAGGCCGCATTTCAAATTCCCAGGTGTAAGCAGGGATGCTGCTGCCTCCTGGTCCCGGCCCAGGGGTGCCCTGCAAACAGTGCCTCTGAGCATTCTGCTACAGGCATTCTGCTTAGGGAAAAGCACGGCACTGCCTTTCAGCGCACACTTTCTGCCATTTACAAAGCAGCGTTCTGAACAGTTAGCTGCAGTGGTGGTGATGACATAATTATAACCTCAAAACCCAACTGCTTCAGGAAAGCAAGGGCGGGAAGAGCAGATACAAGTGTCCCTGCCCAGTGAGCATGTGAGTCACTGACCGCCCAGGAGGTGACCACCCATAGCAGGTCAGCTCTGGGGCTGGATCTCTGCAGGGGAAGGGGCAGGGGAAGTGTAGACTGCCTTCTTTTCTAGATGTACAGAGAAATGAAGAGGAATATAGGCTCCTGTAATTAAAACACTTCCAGAGATATGAGGGCTGAAGCCACACTTTGGAAGGGATCCATGACTGTAGTTTGGGGAAACAGCCAGACAAGGATGGAATGGACTTTAGAACTAAGAGTTAACAGATTTGGCAAGGTCGTTTTCTGGGAAATTTCACCTGTGTTAACACACCCCCAGTGAGCTGACAAACATGTTTTAGTAGGAAAACAAGTTCCAGCCATCTGAAGCAGAGCCATCCTCAGGGAAAGGCCTAGAAGAAGTCTCTAGGGAAGTGCCGCCCACCCTCCGCCCCTCCCTGAGCACAGGGGCTGAGCTGGTAGCAGATGGGCCTCCGGGGGCTCGGGATCTTGGTTAAAGGTAATCCCTGGTGGGTAAACAGGATGAGCTGCTGGCTCCTTCCCTGCTGCCCCAGCTACTGCACACTGAGAGAAAGGCAGGGACTCAGGTCGAGATTCAAAGGAGACCCAGGCAGTTTGGGAGAGACGGGCCAAAGGACACACTCAGGGGGCCAGGGCCAGCCACTGGCCAGCCTGTCAGCATGAAGTTGGCCACCAGGAAACAGGGTGGGCCTGGGTGGTCCCATGGGGGGCTGAGGGCCAACTGCTGGGCCCAAGCAGGCTCTGCTTGGACTGCAAACAGGATCTAGGCAGGAGGCTGTCTGGGGATGTGTTGGACTTTGTGGGGCTGGCCTGTCATGCCCGAATCCTGGGGATTAAGAAGACTCAACCACTGCCATTCAGCCTATGCATTACCCATTAGCTCATCCAATATTTACTCACCACTGACTACATCCTTGATCTCATGGGGCTGATGCAGGGAAGACAGAGAGTCAACAAATAGATTAAGGACACAAATATCAGAAAGTGACAACTGCTATGTAGGAATCCTGAGTTTGTGATAGGCATTGACTGGGGCACAGGAAGGGCCTAAGTTAGAATGAACAGAATGGGGAGGCTCCCAAGGAGATGAAATCTGACCTGAGAATCTGTATCGTGAGAAGGAGCCAATCATGTAAGGAGCCAAAGAAAACATGTTCTCTGCAGAGGAACCAGCAAAGGTCCTAAAGTAGGAATGTGCTTGGGGTGTTCATAAAACAGAAAGACAGCAAGAATGGCCCTGCCCAGCACTGTGAGCATGGGGAGTGGTACAGGATGAGAGTGGAAAGGGAGGCAGAGCCCAATTTCCCTTGTGAGCAATGGAAGAAGTCTGATTTCATCTAAGCACAGCAGAGGGCAATGAGTGTTAAAAAGAGGATGATACTTGCTCTGGATGGTCTTACTAAAGACCAACCAGGTTACCCTGAAGAGGGGCCAGAGGGGCAGTAGAGTGGCAGATGAGGTAGGGGGCTTCTGCGGTGGTCCACACGGGAGGTGGCTCTGAGACAAAGAGGAACAGATGGATTCAGCCTGTTATTCTGCATGGAGAACTAGCAGAACTTAGTAATGTATTAGATGCTAGTGTAAGGCAAAAAAAAAAAAAGGAATCCAAGAAGACTCCAGATTGGTGGCTTGAATAAGTAGGTAGATGTGATGCCATTTATGGAGGTGGGGAAGCTGGGGGAGGAGCAAGTGTCCGGAGAAGATCAGGAGCCCAGTTTTAAACATACTAAATTTGAGATAGCCCATTCATCAGCCAAGTAGAGATGCCAAGATGGCAGCTGGATGTAGGAGCTGGGAGTTCCAGGTGGTGTGTGGGATGCTGAGACTACCCAGGGAGAACACGTAGCTGGAAACCCAGCCCCAGACCGTCCCACCCTCAGGTCAAGCTGAGTGAGGTGAGGAGCCAGTTGGGGAGACAGAAGAGGTGGCCAGGGAGGCAGGAGAAAAACCAGGAGCAGAGTGTATCTTCAAAGGAGGGAGTCGTCTACTGTGCTGAGTGAGAGAGAATGGGAGGTGATGGAAGGGAAAGAGACAGCACTGACAGCTCTTTGAGGACTTCATCCATTTCCTGGACAACTGTTTTTTGAGCACCTATTATGTGCCAGGCATCGTTCCAAAGCACTGAGGATGCAGTGGTGACCCAGATCAGTTCCTGCCCTCACAGAGCTTATGTTCCAACAGGGGCAGGAGCTAGAGAGGGATATTGGGTGGAAATGGTTAGGATGCAGGCTGAACAGCACCCAGCTATCTCTGGATCATGTTTTGTTTGTTAATTAAAAAGTACACAGTGATCAGAAATAAGCAAAACCTACCACCCAATCTGGGTGGCTGTGACAGACAGTTAGCAAAGACGCCCACTGGGAGTGCTCCCCCATGTGCTCGGTACAGCAGGCATGGGGGGTCACAGAGGAGGCTGCGCAACCCCCCGCCAGATGATAGCATATCTATCAGATGATAGCTGAAAAAGGGGCCCATGGCACATGATGTCATTTGGAAAACCCTGCATCTGTTCGCCAAGTGAGCATTTCCTGTGAGGGATGCACTGCCGGCTGTGCTGAGGCCAGAATCCCCCGCTGGAGATTAATATAGTACGTGACACACATGTGGGACAGTCTGATGAGGGATCGGCGAGCTGTCAGCACATCTCCTGTCCTTATGGTGCTTCCTCTGTGCCAGTCTTGTGCGAAGGGTGAGGGATAAGAGTGTGTACGAGGAGAGGTGAGTGAGGGGAGAGTGAGGTCAAGGCACAGGGCTGGAGTTCCAATCCTGCCTCTGCACTGTGGGCTGTGATATCCCAAGGCTGTGCACCTCTTGGAGTCTTGATTTCCCAGCTACGTGATGGGGATGATAACCCCATTTATCGCACATTTGCTTGTTAAGAGGATGATACAGCTAAAGGTATCAGCACAAGATGCAGGACCCGATTTATCAAGTACCTGGAGAAGCTCACCTTAGTCCAGGTATATGGAATGACGAGACACCGAAAAAGCAGTCTGGGGGCAATTCACAGACTGAGCGGCAGGCTAGGGAGATGAGACTATCCTGGAGGTGATGGGGAGCCACTGAAGGTTTCAGAGCAGAGCAGGGGCATGCACACAGTGAGAAGGGAGGTGACCACCATGGTCAAGGGGAGGGGTGACAGTGTTAGGGAAGAATAGGGAGGGAAGGCGGCAGCAGGGATGGGACTGGGTCACGAGGTGGGAAATCTCAGGGGAAACAGGCTGAGAAAACCCAAATCTAGAGCCTTAAATCCTTGCCCAACAAATGCCAAGCAGATGTAAGGCAAAACTATCAATGTAGCTAGAAAATGAATCCAATTTATGATAGTCCAAAGTAAAGGTGGTGATACAGTATGAAGAAAAAAAGCATGGGGCTAAGAATCAGGAGACATGTATCCTAATCTCATTAGCCACTGACTTGATGGTGGCTTTGATCTTCTCTCAGCCTTAGCAGTGACTGTATGAACTGCAGCTGAGGCTGTGCCTTGCTCCCTTAGAACTTACATTTGCTTTTCCAGGGGGACAGCAGGATCCACTCTTTCTCCCAAGATCCCACAAAACTCAGGGCTCCCATGCTTGATGGGCTTGAAGCCCCCTCCAGGAGCTCGAAGCTGGCGCCGCCGGTCCCGGGAAGGTGAGGGGGATGATTGCCGTTTCTCATTGCCGTTAAACTGAGCTGTGGGGGAGAAAGAAAGTGTGTGGTCACCAGAGTGTTACCCAAGAGGTTACTGGGTGGTGCACAGTGGGGTAATAGTCGACTGCTTTTACTGGGGCTTTACGATTCACAGGGGGAAGAACTCCAGGCAATGAACGAACATGGCTCAAGAGACTTAAGTTTCCCACAACAGGTGCTGTCAGAACCAGATGGTGCATTCAAGGGGCTCCAGAGGCCACTGAGCTCAGCCTTATCCCCGAAGGACACCCCCTGCAATCTCCAGCAAGGGGGGCATGGCACTCCCATGAGGGCTCAGTTCCCTGGACAGTTCTGAGGGGGGCGGGCAGGTGTTTCCCATTTCTGCCTCCAAGTGGCTCCTCTCCTCCCATACTCCCATCCCCTGCAGGGCACACCAGCCACATCTGCTCCCTTTCTTCTGGGATAAGCCCACAGAGTTCCATTCAAGGGTCATGCTGCACCCCCCATGTCTGCTCCTCTTCATTCAGTGCCCTCTGCATGGGCGCCCCACATGCAGAGAGCCCTGTCCCAGACCCAGCACCCAGGTGAGGCTGAAGCAGTTCACAGCACGGGGGCAGGCCCCGCCATACGTTTCCTCCCGGCTCTGGGCCTGTGGGAGCATCGTTCACCCCCACAGACTTGGGGAGGATGTTTCTCAAGGGCAGGACCCTGGAGATATCCCACAAAGGGAAGAAAACACGGAGTTGAACCCGGAGTTGCCAGAAGCATTCCTGAAGACCAGTTAGTCCACCTTGCAAGTTATCTCTCTGGACTTTGGTCTCCTTCTCTGTAAGGGATGATAACTGTCGCTACCTCATGGGGTTGTTGCGAGGATTCAGGCAGGTGACATCACCGAGAGTTTAGCACAGTGCCTGGCATGTAGTTCTATTTAATTAACGTTATAATAAATATTTACTTTTATTATTATCATGTCTGCTCAGTGTGGACACTGTGCCAGGTACTTCACACAAGCTTCCAAATTGAACTGAGTTCCTCTCCCAAGACTGTCAGTGGCTAGCTGTGTGACTTGGCCAAGTTACTCAACTTCTCTGAGGCCCCATTTCCCATCTCACCACAGTACTGTGAAGATCAGATGACAGAATAACTTCCTAAGGGCCTAGCACACAGAGTGAGACGGGCCAGGGCCTGCGGAACAAGCTCCCAAAGCCAGGTCCAGCTGCAGGCCCACGGACACACCATCTCCAAAGAGCAAGCACAGAAGTGGCGAGCCGTCAACCTCACATTCAGGAGAGGTGGTGGGAAAACCCAGCTCTGACTGTGGGGAGAGTGGAATGTGGGTGAACTTGTTCTAGGTCTCTGCCGCTGAGCAAGATCATCCATCAGGACTGCAAAGCATTTCCATCCCTCCAAAACACACTCTGCATTAACCATGATGGGAAACAATGGGAAGGGAGATTCCTGCTAATGGAAGGCTCTAGACATGCCGGACCCACGTGTGCATGCTCACTCTCATGACTGCAGGGGAGGCTGGCAGCCCGTCCATCAACCTGCTCCGCTCCTCAACACTCACTCCCATGTGCCAGGCAAGGTCAGGGCTGGAGAAAGAGCAGTGAGCAAATCAGACAGAAATCCTGCCGGAGGAGTTTAGAGTCCGGGCAGGGATAGACACAGTAAGGGGGATAGGTCTGAGCTACAGCATACCTACCAGCTGCTCTAACTGCCATGAAGAAAACCCAGAGGAAGGACATTCCAGGCAGAGGGAAGAGCAAGTTCAAGGGCCCAGAGGTGTGAACATGCCTCGGGCGACAGACACAATACAGTCCAGCGGGAATGGAGGGTTGATGGGAGGAAACCATGCCAGATCATCAGGCATTGTGTCTTGTGAAGGACTTTGGTTTTATTCTGAGAGAAAGGGAGAGTCATTCTGATGTTTTGATGGGGAGGGTCTCACCTGGCACTTTTGAACAGGATGGCTCTGCCAAAAAGGGTGGAGGACAGGGGTTTATCAGAACTCCCTGCACTTTCTGCTCAATTCAGCGGCGAACCTAAAACTGCTCTTTAAAAAGTTTATAAATGAAAGAGAGAGAGAGGTGCACAAGGAGAGCAGTGAGGATGCCACTGCTGGACTGGCCGACAGGGCTTGTCTGTGCATTCCCAGTGGAGTGTGCGGGAAAGAGGATCGATGGGCTACAGGCTTTTGGCCTGAGCACCAGAGGGACAGGGCTGGCATTCTCCAGGAGGTGAGGACTCAGAAAATCATAATTAAAATTCGTGAGGAAGGAGGACAGAGGCCAAACTCTAACCTAGAGACACTGACAGGCTGGGAGACCAGGACTGGAAGTGTGGGGAGGGGAGAGAGTGAAGGCTTGCTGGGGGCTCTGCCCTCCTCTCAGGCTACGGTTCTGTCCCAACCACAGGGACAGACAACAATGACAAGGCCCTTCTAAGGTACACATCCTGGGGCTGGGTGTCTGAGAGAGCCCTCTTCCATCTGCTGATAACCTGGGCTTTCACCATGGTAGTGAGGGGGTGAAGCCCAGAGCTGCGGCCCTGGCACATGTCACCATGGGCCCCTGCCTGGCTTCCCAGCAGCCTGGCTCTCCCACCAGGGCTCCTGCTGAACCACACCAGCCCTCATGGCAACCAGTCAAATGGTGTATGTTCTTGGGTGGGTGGGGGGGGGAGGTGGTCACCTCTTGGGAAGAGGTGAATCACCTGCCTTGCAGAGCTCTGGATGGGTGACCTTGGGCAGGGGTGAGCACCTGGTCACACAGCCCTTTTCTAAAGAGCTGGGTCTTGATCTTATGGACAGGTCAGTCAGGGAATGCCATCCTCAGATTGACTCTGTTGATGGAGAGGGGATGTGGGGGGCAAACAGGGAGGCAGGGAGACCAGTTAGGGAAAGTAATGGAGGTGAATGCCTCAGTGATGGGAGGGATGTTAAGAGATGACTCCAAAAGGACTTGACTACTCATGGGCTGAGCCAGCCAAGACTCTGTGATGCTCCACTGACAGGAGATCTGGGGCACAGAGGGAGAGGGGGGCCAGGGATCATGGACCAGTGTGCACTCTTCCACAATCCCTCCCTCTGCTAACTTTGAGACTGTTAGGAATGGAGAGGGGGCTGCTCAGCAGACCTCTGGCCCAGGGGACTAAGAGTGCTGAAGTAGGCAGGGAAGTGGCATGATGTGGGAAGAGGTTGGGAAGGGGGGGAAGATGAGGCTCTAGGTATAGTTTTGCCACAGGCTAAAGAGGAGGAGAGACCAGAGGAACTTTAAGACATGTTCACCTTGGGACTAAAATTGGAATTTGGAGATTTCTGTCAATATAAAATCCTACCACATACCCCCTGGCACGGAAGGTGAGGACAGGCATGGAGCATGGAGCACTGATCGCAGAAGGAACCCCAGCTCTGCAGCACAGCCACTGACCTGGCTGTCTGTCCAGCCTAGTCTGTACCATGAGCACTTCAAGGCCATTCTTCTGCCTGAATGGCCACAACCCCACAAGCTTCTGCCAGCCTCTTCACCTAACTGACTCCACTTGCCCTTCAGGGGCCACCTCTTCCAGGAAGCCTTCCCTGACCTCACCCTCTCTCCAGACTCACCTTGCTCCTAATGGCATCCTAATGGCCAGTTTCGTGGTCTGGTGCCCCATGAGACCCTCAGGGGCAGGGGCTGTACCACACTTACCCTTGTGCCCTATGCCTCGCACATGCCTGCAACATAACCGGTGCCCAATGAATGAATGAAGAAGCTTAATGAGCTGTTGTTTCACTTTATTGGAAGAAAATATCGGTTTTCATACCAGATAAACTGGATAAAACCTAATAATATCCCAGTCAACACTGTAATTCCCCACTGAATTAATTTATACATTCGCCTGCAAGCTTAATAATATAGCCATATATTTAGAGGGAACAGGTGGTGATGAATGACAGGCTTAATTAGGCAAATCATTTCACCTAAAATAAAATACACCAACTGCAAGTACAGTGATTCAGCAGCAAAAGAAAAAAAAATGTTAAGAACAAAAGCTCCAAACACAACTGCTTTCATTCCTTCTAATTAAGTTTCTCTTTAATCTGCAATTGAAAATGGCAATTCTTTTAATTTAGTGATTTTCTGCAAAAGATAAAGACACAAACCCTCAAAAGAATATCTGCATTTAGAGAAAAAATATGCCACCCCTGTGAGTCATTAGAACGACAGAACCTAATTAATTGCACCTATAGGCAATTACAAATGGAAGTCAGAGTTGTGCAGGAGGGAGAGGAGGCTCAGGTGGGCAGGACCAGGCCCTGGGAGGCAGTGGGAGACGTGAGAGGCCTCAAATGTCCTTCCAAAAATTCCGGTCTAACAACAGGTCTCAGCCTTTAAAGACCCAGCTCAGGTGCCCCCCAGCACTGCCCTTCCAGGAGGCCTTTCCTCCATCTGCATTAGTCTCCAACTCTGGTGGTCCCCTCCTACTTGTATTACAGACTTTATACCAACTGGTCTTGTGTTTAGTCACTGCCAATAATGGAGACGGTGTGCCCGGCAGCCCCATTGGCTCTGACTCTCACAATAGCCCCACCACCCCGTGTGTGATGGGTGAGGGATCGGGACTCAGAGGTGAGGAAGAACTCACCTCAAAGGGTCTCAAAGCTAAAGGGTGGGATGGGGGTACGGAAGGCAAGGCTGGAGCCCAGGCCTCTGAGTCACCACTACCAGCTCCCCCTCTGTCCCCTCAGGTCCTCCTTCCCTGTGGTCAGGCAGGGGCTGTGCCTCCCTCATTCAGTCTGTGGTTTGCTTCCCACCTCTAGGCCTGGGATGAGCACCCTCCTACTCCATCTCTATGACATCTAGAAGCTTCCAAGACCTGGCAAAAGGCCACCCCTCCACAATGCTTCCCTGGATACTGCCTGCTGGGAGCCCCTTCCTCCCCAGAAACACTTGGCACAGCTCCACGGACACCCCTCCCACTCTTCCCCAGTCAGCCTGGGTGTTCTGTGGGGACACGGTGCCTGGGATTTATTTTCTTTCTCTTTTTCCTCTCCAATC